AGGACATAGTGGACAAATGTTGGATATTATAAGTGTTGGATGCATCTAATTCATCCCTAGGAACAAAAGGAACATTTGGGCATAAATACAGGTAGGGTGGGTAGCTGAGTACAAAGGCATGTGTATGAAAGTTCTATTCTGGTAGCTTCCTTTTTCTCCACGAATAAGGGGAAGGTGAGGATGAGGAGAGCTTTCATGGTGTGTGTGTGTGTGTGTGTGTGTGTGTGTGTGTGTGTGTGTGTGATAATCCCCTAGGAGAGTGGCAGATGAATTGACTGAAAAAGTAGCACATGATTGCTGGGAAGCATTAAGTAGCTACTTGTAGTTAGTGACTGTGAACTTGAAGTGAAATCAGTAAGCATCACAGTGTGATTTTCTCTAGCCATGTTCAAATACATGTTTGCAGGTATGGAGTGGGACAGAGAGTTGGATTTAGCCAGGATTGGGGTTTATCCAACCATGTATGATGAGAGAGCTCAATTTAACAACTGACCATGGAATTTAAGCTGGGTGGGAAGAGAAGGGAGGATATAAAGGAAGTAAGAGGCGTGAGAAGGTGGTAGGATCAACCACATTCCATTGTTGGAGTTGGGTATTAATTGGACTCAGCTGCAAAGACAGGAGTGGTGATTACAGAGGGTATGCCTGAAATCAAGACTACAGAGGGAGTATATTTTTTGTAAATGACAAGATCAGAGATACGACCTTGGGACTGAGGGGGCTGAGGTCACAGTCATTGGAGTAGAGGAATCAAAGAACTGAGAGACCAGGAGACTAGAATAATTCTGCAGGTGGATGTTGATATCACCACAAATTCCAACAGAAATAGGGTTGGAGAGAATTATAGTGATTCAGGACCTAAAATATTCAAGGACCTGGGTAGAGAAGATCCTGGCTAGATACAGGAGACCAGAGATAAATTTTAAAGGAGTTCTCAGATAAATGTCTTGTAGTCTGATAAAAGCTAGACACAACAGTGGGGTTGTGTCAATCTCTATGGGGCCAAGAAAGGCTTCAGAGTCCAGGTGACATTTTAGCTAGTGTGGGAGGCTCTGTGGGAGGCTTTCCTACCATGTGAACAAGGTAGGAAAGGACATTTTATTCAGAGGGAACGTTACGTGCAGGGCTACAAAGGCATGAAACAGCATGGACATGTGGAGTGCCACAATTAAGTTACTCTGGGCAAATTACTCATCTTCCCTGCCTCGGTTTCCCATTCATAAAATGGGAATAGTAATGGTATCCACAGAGTAGGTGATGGTAAAAAGTGATGTGTATAAAATTTGTCACAGGCCCTGTTGTATAATCTTTTGGGTGTATTCTTACTTGATTATTTTTAAAAAATCCTATGACATAGGCTCTATTTTCATTAGTTCTGTTTTACAGATAAAGAAGCTGAGTGTTAGGGGGTTGAGTAACTTTCCCAAAGTCATGTAACTAGTGAGAGGCAAGAGTTTGGACTCTTGGTCAGATCAGTCTAATTCTATGGCTCTTACTCAACCCCTAAGCTATAGTTAGTGCTTAGCACTTGGTAGCTATTATTATCATGGTTACTAAAGTTTCTCACCCCGTGAGTTGAGGATTCTGTTATCACTTCTGCAGCTGGTTGAAGATCACCCCTCCTATCTCATGAGCAGCAGTGACTATTTTTGGAAGGCCCTCATCACCTACAATAGATTTAGATTGACAGTTGCACTACTTTTGTTTCAACTGGTTGATTTTTGGAAATCAGGAGTGGAGAGTGATTCTTATCTTCTCAGAGGGCAAGTTGTTCCAAGCAGATGCAGTTGATGTGAGGGAGGAAGATCTGGGTTTTCTGTACTCCTCTGATGTCTGCGCACTGAACCCAGACAAAAGTCTCATGCCCCAGCAGCTCACACCTTGAGGGGATGGCAGCGAACCAGTATTCATTGGCAAGAGCCATTATCCAAAGGGCAGGTGACTGCCCCAGTGTTCCCTGGGAGATTGCTGAGAAAGAATATTTTCCATTAGTGATGCCTGAGGAAACAGAACTCTTAAGAGCTGGCAACTCTCCCTCCCTCCCTCCATTCACTCACTCACTCACTCACTCACTCACTCACTCACTCACTCAACAAATTGTTATTAAATGCCTACTATGTGCCAAACACTCATTTGGGCACTGAAGATAGTAGTAGAGAAAGCTGATGAAGTTTATGCTTATGGAATTTACATTTTTTTGTAGGAGGAGACAAAGGTAACCAAATAATAATGTGAATACATGCATCATTACAAACTCCCATGCCACCAAGGAAATTTACGTGACATGAAAAGAAGGATAATGATCAGAAATATTTACTGATTCTTCCAGGAGGCTGCCAGGGAGTCAGTTCTCTGAATTCATAAGGAAAAACCCTGAAATTTTTGACAAAGAACAGAATGGCACCTCTAACTTTTGCCCTGTGAGCCTGCCTGCCTGTTTCCTGGTTATGAAAAGCTGAAATTCCCCCAGCTTGAACTCCAGGCTTCAAGGAAGGATTTCCTTCTACTTCATGGGATGAAGCCAGTTTGTGGCCACCACAGCTTCCCCTTAGTTCTGTTAATGCTGCATCTCCCAGCACAGGTTTCAAGGCCATTTAAATATTGTGTATCAAGTTGATGCACAAGGTTGAAGTGTATTTTCAATATTTTTACTTTAGTTTTACTTTAATTACTCAATAGTTTTACTTTAATTACTCAGATAATATAATAAGAATAAAGGAAGTCAAACTGAAAGATGAGAATTTATCTCTTGTCAGTTTACTGGTCTCAACCATGTACATTTTTTCTAGGTATTTGGATTTGCATAACTTATTCACAATGGTAACATTTTCTGTTTCATTTTCTTTGTTATAATATTTAAGCATTTCCTTTCTCATTGGTACTTAAATTCACACACAATTACACACACACACACACACACACACACACACACACACACACATACATATTCTATAACTAGGGGCCCAGTGCACTGATTCATGTAAGGGTGGAGTCCCTTGGGTTGGCCAGCAATTGAGGCTGATCAGGGCTGTCTCACCTAATCCTGATAGGCGCCGATCAGGGCTGGCTGGGGGAAGGACTGTGAGAGGTTGACTGTGGGAGAGCACTGACCACCAGGGGGCAGCTTCTGCATTGAGCGTCTGCCCCCTGGTAGTCAGTGCACATCATAGCAACCGGTCAACTGGTGGTTCGGTCGTTCAGTGGTTCGGTCGCTTAGGCTTTTATATACATAAATAGACTAGAGCAGGGGTGGGCAAACTTTTTGACTCGAGGGCCACAATGGGTTCTTAAACTGGACCGGAGGGCCGGAACAAAAGCATGGATGGAGTGTTTGTGTGAACTAATATAAATTCAAAGTAAACATCATTACATAAAAGGGTACGGTCTTTTTTTTTTTTTAGTTTTATTCATTTCAAACACGGCTGGACCAGAGCCTCGATGCATGAATTCGTGCAAGAGTAGGCCTTCCTTCCCTTGGCTGCCGGCACCAGCTTCCCTCTGGCACCCGGAACCCAGGCTTCTCTCACAGCCCTGACTTCATCTGGAAGGACGTCCGGTCTAATTAGCATATTACACTTTTATTATTGTAGATGGTGGATGTACCATCATTTAATTATTTTCCTATTGCTGGGAGCTTAGTTGATAACCTTAGATTTTTCACCATTATAAGTAATTTTGAAATTCAAAACTATTTTTTTACATGTGCATATTGCTTTATAAAACTCGTTATTTATCCCATTAATCCTCTTTCAGTCTTCACCACACTGAATTAGGAAGGAAATCATTTTACATGTGAAGAAACCAAAATGTATAATCTTTGTCTTTGAATTATTTATTCAGTTTTATTTCCTGGAAGAATGATAATAGACACAAGCTCTTAATTCTATGGCCTGATTACTTTCTAAAAAGGTTAAATTCATTTCTATTACTTCTTTGAAATATACCAATTTCATTACAGTCTGTCCAGAAATGAGTATTATTATCATTTTGAAAGTGGCTGGCTAATGTACATTCTGTATATGTTATATATCTTAATATTACAGTTGCCTCTTCTGGGTTAAGATTAATCATAATTTCATATGCTTGTTAATTGCATTTTCTATTTGTGATTTGTCTGCCTGCTCATGTTGATTGCCTGTTTGAGAGGCTTTTACTCTATTAACCCTGTGTATACCTTGACTCTTGTTTCCGTTTTTATTACAGTATTTCTCATTGCATAGAAGTTGGGATTTTCATGCAACTGACTCTATTAGACTTTTCCTGTTATTTTTTTACATTTCACCGGAAAGAAGAAAGAGCTGACAAATATAGAATTATTTTTAGCCTTTAAAAATTATATTTTTATAATATTTTCCCCACTCTAAGAGTAATGCATCTACAGTTTAGAAATTTGAAATATACAAAAAATGTGTAAAAAATGAAACCACATTATTCTACCATCCAGTTTTTTTGTCCTTTCTCTTTCTCACATGCACATTTTTAAAAATGTATTTTTCTGTATTAGAATAGTCTATGATATATTGCTTGTGACCTATTTTTTATATTAACATTACATAATTAAACTTTCACATTTCACTAAATATTCTTTGATAATAAACAATTTAAACACTTTTTAAAAGTCTGTCTAGAGTTTATTTTGAGATGAACTAAATTCTCTCTCCCCCAAATTGCTATTTATACTAGTATATCCCTAAACCAATGACTAAACAATCTGTTCTTCTCCGATTTATCTGTGGTGTCTGCTTTATTTTTCTAGCATGTCCTTATCAGTCTATTCCTAGGCTGTCTGTACTGTTCATTGACCTGGGGCATTGCACCTGTAATAGGCTCTTTTCTCTCTTTTTTTCCTGATCCCTCAGGGCTTCCTGGATTGAGCCATAGCCTGGACCAGGGCCTCCAATGGAGACTAGCAGAAGTGCCTGCTATCTTGTTAATTTTTAACCCTGTCCCTGTTGGAAAACAGCTCTAACCTGCCCCCCCCCCCTTCTTTGTATTTGCAGATGTTTGCTCATCATCCTGAGAAAAATGAGCCTTGGCCTCCAGACCTAATAAAGCACATATACCTCCCATGAAGAATAGTGCTATATCCTGAGGACCTGTAACTCCTGCAGCCCCCGGGGATTACCCAGAGCAGGTAAGAAACATCTGGAGGTGTGGGCTTCAGAAGGCGGCAAAAGGGAACATCCCTGAATAAAAAATGGTGTGGTAGAGTGTGCTGATAAGGGTGACAGGGTCTCAATGTTCAGCTACAGCTTTGCTGTTTCCTTCATGTGTTTGTTTTTGGTTGATTCAGTGAGGGGTGAGGATAGGTGGTTTGCCTCTTTCTATACTCTATAAACACAAGATTTGAAGTTATTCTGAAAATCTACCTTTTTTGAACCCCACTGTTTGCCCAATCCTGCATTTGATGCCACGCGTGCAGTGATAGATAGACGGGCAGGCAGTGGAGCCTCAGTTTGGCTGGGATTTTTCTTTCTGTTGGTTCAGTGTTGATTTGTTCTCTGTAGGTGATAACATAAGTTGTCATTGTGTTCTTCTAGAAGTCTGATGGGAGTTGTAAGGATTCATTGATACAGTCTCATCTGTTCAATAATTCTTTTGAGTGCCCCTTTTTTCCTAAACACTGCTGGGCACTGGGTTTCAGAAATGAGCCAGGAGGAGTTTCCCTCTGGCAGAGATCAGTGTGAAAAGCTGACACTGGATGCCAGAGAACAGAGCAAGAAAGGTGCTAAAAGGGAGGTGGGCTCCACAGGAGGTTAGCAGCGGAAAGGTCATGCTGTCTGATGGCCAGACAAATGGACTAGGGCAGTGGTCGGCAAACTCATTAATCAACAGAGCCAAAATAGCAACAGTACAACGATTGAAATTTCTTTAGAGAGCCAAATTTTTTAAACTTAAACTATATCGGTAGGTACATTGTTATTAACTTAATTAGGGTACTCCTAAGGCTTAGGAAGAGCCACACTCAAGGGGCCAAAGAGTCACA